TACTGGCTGGAACACATGTTCCTGCAGGTCCTACCATGCCAGGCAGGTCGATTGGAGAACGATGAGACTAAAAGCAGCTACCCAAGGTCTGAGGGCGAAGTCGTACTGCTGACTGCAGAGGGGTGTGACAGCAGTAAGGTGTTTCCCTCGGACAACCAGCATCTGCAGCGATGCTGCCTTCTCACAAGGAAGGAAGGGTTAGGAAAGGTCGGCCCTAAAAATGTCACACCTCCCCTAACTCACGGATTTCCGTCTCCTTGGGTAAGGGTGCCCACTGGGCCTTTAAGAACGGAGCTAATCATCTAAATACCTCTCATAAAAAGGCCGTGCGTGACCGGCCTCAAGCAGTTGTCCCTTGGACTCTGCGGTCACGCACCAACACTAATCCATCTTCCTTTTCAGGTTCGTCAAGAAACAACCTTCCACGGTGTGGGCAGCCGGGAAGTGATAACCGCCCTCATACCCGCAACAGCACACGAGACAAAATTGTTCAAAATCAAATCCTTCCTACATTCCGTAATACCTCTCTTATCTCCACAACTAACTCTTCTCACATTCATTTATTACAGTGCACAGCTAATGCAAACGATGCGAGTTTGCGAAACGTCGTTCCTGGTCTCCTTAAACCCCGTTCCAAACTACATGTTGGAGCATTCAATGTACGGACATTGTGTCAAATAGGGCAACAGGCATCATTAGCTAGGACTTTAGAATCTCGTTCCATCGATGTGTGCTGCGTCTCGGAAACGCTCATACAGGATCCTAGTAAAATCAATAATTTGATTTCATGTCAAAATAAAGAAACAGCCCGATTTATTCTTCGTGTATCCGGTAGCCCTGATGCTGATCTGCGGGGTCTCGCTGGTGTAAGTATAGCATTGAGTCGTAGGGCTAAACTATCTCACACAGACTTGATCCCAGTAGATAGTCGCCTGTGCGCTGTCCGACTGAACGGGACAGTAAAGCCTCGAAAAGATAGGGACACTTTCTGTTGCCTCTTCGTCATATCTGCCTACGCCCCCACTGACTGCAGTTCAGACGACGTAAAAGATGGGTTTTACAGAAAGCTTTCGGACCTCCTCCAAAAAGTTAAGCGCTCTGATATAGTATTAATGGCTGGTGACTTCAATGCACAAGTAGGTAGACTAAGTGAAAATGAAAGACACCTAGGTGGATGTTACGGTCTCGCGGCTCAAAGAACAGACAATGGCGACCGTCTGTTGCAACTGTGCTCAGATAACCAACTATTTATAGCAAACACTAATTTTAAGCATAAGGAAAAACACCTTTTGACCTGGCGACCCCCGAAGTCGTCTCAACATTGGACACAACTAGATCATATCGCCATCAGCCACCGATGGAGGGGTTCGATAGAGGACTGTCGCTCGTTCTGGGGCACATGTTTAGATTCAGATCATGCCCTAGTGCGAGCACGTATTTGTTTGAGGCTTGCTGGACGTAGGAAAGACACCGTAAGGAAGCCTCCTAGGGCTTTACTTGATAATAATCAAGCTAAGAAAATATTTTAGGAGGAACTAGAAAAACAGTTAGGCGGCCATGCAAGTGATTCCCATCCTGAAGCAGGTTGGAATCATATCAAGAAGGCTGTGGAAACAGCAATGGTATCTGCTAGCAAGGTAAACCACAATACTAGGATGAAGCAGTGGATTTCAGTCGCATCCACCGAACTGATGGATGCTCGAAAACTCATCCCACCTGACTCTGAACATGATGAAGAGCGTAGTCAGCTTAGGTGCAGACTTATAAAAAGCCTACGTAACGACCGTGAACAGTGGTGGGTGGCGAAAGCAAAAGCGATGGAAAAGGCAGCAGCGATAGGCAACACTAGACAACTTTTCCGCCTTATCAAAGAAACCGGTATTAGGAACCCGAATGTAAGTGAGACTATCTCGGAAAAGGATGGTCTTATTATCCATTCTCAATCTAGGAGGCTGGACCGATGGGCAGAACACTTTAAGGATCAGTTCAACTGGCCTTCAGCCATTCTTCGGTTGCCCACGATCTCCAGTCATCCTGAATGGCAAATCGATTTAAGTCCTCCCAGTTTACATGAAGTTGAGAAAGCTATAGGAAATCTAAGGAGAGGTAGAGCGGCAGGTCCCGATAGGCTTACCCCTGAGATGTTTAAGGATGGTGGTCCAGTTTTAACGGTTAGACTGACCGAGATCCTAGGTAGAATCTGGGAAATGGACGTAATCCCATCTGACTGGTCTCAGTCGCTAATTGTCCCAATCTACAAGAAAGGACAGAAGTCCTCTTGTGACAATCACAGGGGGATAAGTTTAACTAATATAGTTTCTAAATTGTTAGCCTCGATTATACTTAGACGTCTAACTAGAGCTCGCGAAGAGCAGACTCGAGAAAACCAGGCTGGTTTTCGACCTGGACGTGGTTGTATAGACCACATCTTCACACTACGACAGGTCCTGGAACACAGACACACATTTAGACGTCCGACAATAGTCGTGTTCCTGGACCTTAAGGCGGCATTCGACTCAGTGGATCGTGAGGTTCTGTGGCAGTGTCTGTCATTGAAAGGTGTACCAAAGAAGTACATTAACCTCATACAAGCACTCTATTCGAACACCACTGGTCGGGTGAGAGCATATGGCGAACTGTCATCTGAATTCTCTACATCAAGTGGTGTCCGTCAGGGCTGTCCATTCTCTCCATTCTTGTTCAACTTTGTCGTAGACATCCTCTTAGAGTTAACATTAAGCTCGTCAGATTTTTCAGGGGTTGACCTTCTACCAGGGAAGTCGCTTACTGATCTAGAATATGCCGATGACATAGTTCTATTCGGTGAAGACGCTGACAAAATGCAGTCTTCTGACTACCATAAGCAACAATGCGAGCATGTTCGGGATGCGGTTTCCCCCCTCGAAACGCAAAATGTTGCTTCAAGACTGGGTTGCTTCGGCACCTGAACTAGTGATAGGGAGTGAAGTAGTCGAGCGTGTAGATTACTTCACTTATCTGGGGAGTCTCATCAGTGCTGACGGTCTGGTGACTGACGAAATCTCAGCTCGGATACAGAAAGCTCGATTGGCTTTTGCCAACCTGCGTCACTTATGGCGTAGACGTGATATCCGTTCGCTAACCAAAGGGCGGGTGTACTGCGCAGCAGTTCGTTCCGTTCTATTATATGGCTGTGAAACATGGCCGTTAAGAGTAGAAGATGTTCGTAGGTTACTAGTATTCGATCATAGATGTTTAAGAAGCATTGCTCGTATATCGTGGGACAGCCGAGTAAGCAATGCTGTCGTTAGGAAACGAGTACTAGGTAAGGATGGCAGATCAATCGATGAAGTGGTGAAACTTCATCAGTTGAGGTGGTTGGGACATGTGTTACGTATGCCTAACCACCGACTGCATCGACGAGCTATGTTTTGTGGTGTAGGAGTAGGCTGGAAGAAAGTTAGGGGCGGCCAGACCAAAACATGGCAGAAATCCATGAAGTCACTGACAAGTGGACTGAGTCATGTTGGTAGATGTAGACTACCTGGTTGGGGTCCGCGAGACGAAAGTCATCAATGGTTAGAGACCTTGAACGACATGGCTCAAAATCGTTTGCAATGGCGCAGGTGCATCCACTCTTTGAGCTCTCTCAAATCCTAATCTTCTGGATTCGTCAGCAACTCTAGCTTTGTCTTTCTAACCTTATCTCACTGAATTATATTTTTTGAATAATATCTTAAACCCTAGTCTTCTTTATTATAACATTAATACCTCTACCATCTTTATCACTATGGGATTTGATTTGACATTTGCGTCTCTGTGCTAATAATATGGTATGGCAACATGAACTTATGTACATACGTACGAAGTTCTACGTTGCAACTGACTGACTGACCAGTAAGCAAAGATAAATTACAGATGCCTCTTCAACAAAACATTTAAACCTGTGCTATGCAGATGATATGTGGTGTTTGATACCTCTTGATACAGAATTTAACAATAACAGTTTAGCCCGTCCCAATGCCTGGAAGATTGGTGAGCCAAAATTAATTATTTGATTTTGAGTTAGAAAATGGGATTTACATGGTTTTATCAAGTAGGTATATAAATGAGTGAGATCATAGAGAATAATTACTAACTTACTTCGATAGTGAACGCTTACTTAAAATCAGTTAACAGAAACACCCACTAGACTGTTAATTGATTGGTATTAGAAGTACGGTTAAAAAGTTATTAGAAACTGATAAAATATTAGACTTCATTTAAGAAACATTTCCGGGGCTATAAAATGGAATAACTTTTAGTGCTTTCAGTGGAATTCAAGCTTGGTAAAAGGTAAGCATTCACAAGAGGTAAACAGATTTGATTCTCATTGGATTTAATGTGACTTTCATAGTTCATAGTACTAAACTACTTTCGGTAAGTTATACAGAATTACACACCTGTTTAATAGGGTGTCAAAGACGAAGACCAATGGGTCTGAAATAAGAAACCTTTATATGATACAGTATGGCAAAGATACATAACAGATCTGCTTACTGTAATTTCATTAATAAATTAGCTGAGGTATTTAAAAGTGTTACGTGTTTAGTTCTACCGATATTGAAATTAGTTAAGTAGTAACGATGAAAACTCTCAGAGAGGAATTGGATCTTCAAGAAAGCACACTGAAGGAATTAAAACAGGTCGACTGACAAAACACTGATTACTGAAGATCAATTTATTCTCACTCTGAATGATGTATGTAGTGATCGGATTTCTTGTTAGGGTTACTGAAGCCAAGATGTCAAAGTTGTAATGAACAGATTCTGAGCCAAAACAACAGGATAAGGTGGGTTATAAACGTCTCTGTAGTTAAGATCGATGTTTAGGGCTTAAAAGTCTTAATTGTGAGAACACCAGGGTACATACAAACTACATACGTAGTGTTTAGGTAACATGGCCAATATTTTTCGTATTATTTAGACGCTATGAGGTTAGTATAGGGTAATCGTGAAAATCGCAAGCAATGGACAACTTACTTGGAAACTTTGGTTTTCTGCTATTAAAGTAATCAGACCACTAGCCATGATTGAACTAAAAATAAAGTGTGATGTACAACTTGATCAGATGGCTGGAATTGAGGTAAATTTCTCGAATAAATTTCTGTATTTGGTAATTTATTTAGAACTTGAAGTTAAGTTAGGAAAGTGAGCACAGTAATGTGAGGAAATCTGGGTAAGAGAACAATAGAAGCAGTGAACCAAAGTCAGCGGGGAGACAGTGTGCACACTCATTAAGCAATAAAATGTATCAGAAGCAACTAGCAAAGCAGCTAGTTTAAAATTGAAAGAATTTTACAGCCGGAACTAAAGGTAGGCAAATTAAACTTCCAAGTGCGTTACGCACTGATCAGACAGTGCGCGTCTGTTTTAATATAATCTAATGTACAGTACTTTTTACAAAAGTTAATATAAATCATTTGATTTCTTTCCTCTCTCTTACTACTGTTCGTGTACGTGTTCAAGTGTTTCGCGATGTTTTGTGGATGATAGTTTAGTCCCTCGGTTGCACTAATTATAGTCATTTGTCATTTTGTCATAGTCATTTGTGAGTTTGCATGTCCCGTGATTCCCGTGAGTGCATTTGTCTTAGGGCATCAGGGTTGATTCAAGGTTATAGCAGATTGTTTCTGTACACATAAGGGGGGTTTTGATTTTCTTATAACCAAGACCTACATAAACCAATAATTTCGTCCTTCATCATTTCTGTACAAACGTTTGAAAACTGTCTTGATTTTAATCTTATACACTGTCTCAATTATGTGTTTTATGATCAATGAACATGGTTTTCTATTTCCAATGATTTCAAAGCCACTTATATACATGTCCTTTAACCCTTGACTGCAAAGTCCGATTACTCCTCCCTATGTATGTGTACACAGACATGTAAATTGATGAATGGAGTGGGATGTGATGTAATTTTGAGGTTTATGGAGGCCTTGACTATTAAAAGATTAAAACCTACCTTATATGTACACAGAAAATATGTTTTAACGTCGAATTTACTCTGGCAATCTTTAAGCCTTCGTACGGCGTAGGGTAATGTTTCAATTTCCTACCCTTTATTTTTCTCTTCATATTACGTTAATTTTCTCTCTACTTTATTTACAATTATTACCTTATATCTATCTGAACTTCTATTTAATTGACCTTTCATTAATCTTCATATAAAATTCCTTGACAAGTATATAAGTGACCAGATTGTTCGAAATGTATAGCGCAAATACATCACATTTTTCAGGTCAACTACGTGTTCCCACTTTTTAACGATAGAAGTGATCCTTACGAATATAACTGTATGAATGTGTGGGTGAAATCGAGTCCTGAGTACAGCACCGACACACAGGGCAACTCTGTCACCCTAAACCACTCCTTCAATCAATATTCGAAACCAAGCAAAAAACAAGTTTGATAGTCAAGAAAGTCAGACACAACCGGCCAAAAGTTTAAGCCCTACGAACGTATCACTTATAAACACTCCTAGAGGCCAGCAGTATTCGCCGGCCATGATAATATTTTCCTACTCTGAAGAGCGATGCAGTGTACAGTAAAAAGGAATGCAAAGAAAAAGGTTTGATCGGCTCTACTCCTATTTGCATTTTACCTTTATCAGCTATTTGGGAAACAAGGAAATGGTTTCCCAGCTGAATATGATTACGTTTACTCAAGCAAGTAGGATATGTGAGAAAAACTGGTACACATGTGTACATTTACTATCCGAAAACCTATAGGTTGAATGCACAGAAAGACTGTTTTTACAGTTCTTACTTTAGAAAAAATATATATGTCGTCGTTCTAACAAAAATGTGAACAAACAAAAAATATGAAAACCGATTTGACATAACAGAAGTTAAGATTGGGACCAGTCGTCTTTACAACACAGAGGGTGAATGAAAAAGAAATAACGCTGAAAAAGCACCTGTATATTATTTGTTCAGATGTTCTGGGAACCTCTCAGTTCTTCCGGAGAGCGTTTTTTCAGATGACTGATTAGATATGAGGGAGGTTTTCATGCTATCGTTGACGCTCAGGTGAATGTACTGTATTTCTAAGTTTTTTATCGTCCGTGTAGAATCCATTTTTAAGGCTTTATTTTGGGAAAATCCCTCTATGTACATATTTGTAACATGTTCTTACTCTTTCTGTGCTAAATTTTGGTACTCTGTTTAGTCCCATTTTGTGATGTTAATATTTGTATTTTGTTATAGTTTCTGTTTTTGTACTTTTATTGGAGTTTCTATGTTTTCTAATGAACTGTATTATGTTGTTGAAGCTGATACTTAATCAATAATTATTATTAGTTATGGCGTCAGCCATATCGGAATTGATACCCTGGTGGGTGGAACGTACGTCTAGACTGGAAGGGTGCAATTTCGGACCCATATGGAAGCATTATTCCAGAATCGCAAACTCATTGTGTTAAATTTGACAGACAACAGTGTAATATTGTTTAGTTAATTATCTGTGTTATCCGGGTAGTGAGGTTATCTTAACTTCTGGAACTGTTCTTCCGAATTTGGAACCCTCTCTAAACTCAACAGTCAGGCTTTTTCGTGGAAAAGCTAACAGATAAGACTTTATCCTTTATATGTCGATTTTACTTTCATTTTCGTTCTTGTCGATAGTATAATTCCTTAGTTTACGATGAAGAGATAAATATTTTCGGTTGTGTCCGACTACGATGGATTGGCACAAACAGTGGCCAAGTAAAAACATGTAAGGTGAAGAGGTACGGACTAAGGAATGTTGATTTCGGTCTATTGAAGGTGGGTTGATCTGAATATATAAAACTTGTAAGCCCGTATTTATTGAATAAGATGAAGGGTTATGAGATATCCTATAGGCCGAAGTATCGTTCTGTGATCGAGTTTGGCTGCAGTGCCTCTGATGCTGGCTTTCATTTCACAGCACACATAGAGTAAGACTGGTAGAATAAACATAGTTGGTTGCATTTCACTTGTATAAGATTTATGTTCATTTCTATCCCAATTGAATGGAACTGCCTTTAAAGCGTTTGCTGAGTCAGTGGTTCACCTTTTCGTTTGTCTTCATATTTTCCAGTTCTTACAGATCATGTTACTGTGCACGCTTCCCCAGTACACAGGATGACCTCTAGCGAGATATGAACCCTTACAGTGATGTCGTCCGCGGAGATAATAATAGTAACTTCTCAAATAAAAGCATTTTACTAGAGGCGTTCCACGTTACAGGCAAGGTCACAATGTTAAGATCGCTAACATATATTTTGTAAAAGGTTGTTCAGTTGCCGAAATATTTCAAAAGAACCGCTGGCTTCGTATAGATAGCTAAATTTTCCACATAAAGTTATCGACAATTTTCCAGACTCTGCAATGTACAATGTAGTAGTTACGATGGACCGCCAATGGCTGTGAAACAGTGCAAGTATTTAGCCCTATGCTTTAACTGATTGGGTTTTTGACAATAGACACACCTATTTCAGTAGCTGTCGGTTCAGGGATGTAGTGATGCGGATCGATTAAATATGTCTTTCGTATCAGGTTGCCGATAAACTTTAGTTGGACCTCAGTCGCTGCGATCCCGTGTATAAAGGGTGCTCACATGGTTTATCTGATGGTCGGATTATTTATAAGTCAAGCGATAGGATTCGTTAATGACCAACTATAACTTTCTGGAAAATGTTTGGTTCACCTGTAAGAATAAACATGAATATGTTTTTGTGATATGATATGTAGTATTACCAGTTACCCGCGGTGATCTAGGTTGTGACTGATAGGATTTAAGCCCACGATCAGATCATTTATTAGTGGCCGGAAGACAGAATCTTGCAGGCAATTATTAGTAGTGGGGAGAAGGGCAATCACTTCTCTGCGGCTGTGGTCGACGTGACTAACCTTTGTCATCTCACTAGCGGTGCACAACAGATTTCTGCATTCATTGACTACGTTGGCAGTTACAAGTAAGAAAGTTTATCAAACATTTGTTACCTCAGTAGATATGACATTGAATAAATTGTAGGATTTTCTTCATTTTTTGACTAACCAATCCTAAATGTTATGAGATCAGCACTAAATAAAGGCAGGTGTTTCTCATTGTCCGAAACATGGTGCCGTGGGGAGTTTTGTACGTTCTGAGAACATGACAGAGGTGAGAAAGCTAGCGATAATATTACGAAAACATTTCATTTCGTTTCATGATGACAGAAGTTATTATTTGGTTTTACAGACGTTGGTCCTGTGGATCTGGTGAGTTGTACAATCACGTAGGCAGCTGCAAATGGTTCAAGCGATGGTGAGGCATGCACTTCGTCATTACTGTGCAGTCAAGAATAATTTTGGCAATCAACCTAGCTTTGGTCATCAGTCAGTCGGTCAGCTACAACGTAAAACTTGATTCGTATGTACATCAGTTCAGATTGCCATATCACGTTGGAGCAGAGAGGGGGAATTGTCAATTCAAATTCCATGGTGGTAGAGGAAGTAGTTGTAGGAGTACTAGCGTTAATCGGAAAGATTAGGGATCAAAAATATGATTCCAGAAGAATTTAATAAGGGAAATAATGTCACGAGGAATTCAGAAGATTAGAAGTTGGGAGAATATAAAGATGGATGCAAGTGGAAAGTTGCACACGATCTCGATTCACGTCATTCGAAGTCTCTAACCATCGGCAGCGATTATTCACCACTAGACAGTCAAACCCTGATAACATGGCTCTGCCACTCTAACTGCTAGAAATGGACCACCTTCCTCAAAAACCTCAAGAGTTATTCTTTCAGGGCCTGCTGCTCTACCCTCGCATTAGATTGCCCATAGCCTTTCCAACTCGGTTAAGAGTTGGAGGACTTACACCAACTTGCCATTCAGATTGACATTAAATGATGGGTAGTGGAGGTGTGGCTGAAAGTAAGTTGAATCGATCCTGAAAGTGTTCTGTCCATCAATCCAATCTTTTGCTTTGAGAATGAATAACAGTACCATCTTTTTACGAGATAGTTTCGTCGACAGTTGGATTCCTAGTACCGGTTCGCTTGATAAGTCAGAACAGTTGTCTGTTTT